AATTTACAAGAATTGTCTTTCTGTAGAACTTGGCGCTCACTTAAGAGGGAAATGTATTCATGCCCCCTCTTCTTGAGAAATAAAGATTAATTTATCATCTGGACATTTAAAAAAAAAATCCTCGCTGACTTTCAAGGTGTTACATGAACCATTTATAACAAATGCAAAATCTACTAACCATTTTTCTGTGGACTGCAATGATATACCCTGTACATGGACTATCAGAAAGCAAGGGCACATGACCGTTGAGAGTCCAGTTGGCAAGGTTACGCTCTGTTCCACATGGCACTACGGTATTTGGCATTCCGTTTGGAATCAGGGTTGGTTTAGGAAGGTCCCCATTCATCATTATGTTGGGTGCTCCATTAGCTGATGGCCCAGTGGAGACATCTGTAGATAGACAATCACACTCTCAACTACCTACAGTAACCAGAATTGATCACAAGATTTTTTTATCCTTTCCATTCTGTTCAATTCATTCCATGAAATATCTTCCAAGACCAACATCTAACCTTTTATTTGCCTACAACTTTGCAAAACCAGAGCATGCAAGAGCAAAGAGGTATTTACAACCCATACATGAATCACAAACAATAAACCAAAACCATACTTCCTATTTTTTGTGTGTGGAGCCAATCCACAAGTAATAGAATATTTTGCCTATTTCTTGTGTCTTTAACTAAAATCAGTATATAGCGATCCTCAGACTGCTATCCTGGACGTGATCCTAAAAGGATCACAGGCTATCAGCAGATACTAAGATTGCTCACAGCTTCTCTGTGGATAAGAACTCCGACCTACTTGTCTTTCCTTTAATCCTCACTGTTTACTTATTACTAAGAAATTAAGTTTTCTCCAGTGCCTAAGCACTGTGCATTTTCAATGAACAGGAAAATAAACATGTTGTCTTTTACCTGTCTGCACAGGACTCGATGCTGATGTAGGGGATCCTGGAATTGGTATTTCAAATGCACACAAAAACCCACTCACTGATAACCGGACTTTCTGGTTGTCTTGAGGAAAGTTCTTCAGTAAAAAAGGGAAAGTTAGTCAGATGTGTATGTACTTCTATCTGTGACTCTGAACATGTTTTGTTCTTTTGAACACAGTGTATCTATCAGCTCATCTCTCCCCTCCCATCTGCTTTCTTACACCTTTCTAGAGGGAAATAAAAGAAGCTAACAAGCACATCTCTTTGCAGATCTCTGCAGCAAGACCTGAGAGAGTTATTAATGGTTCTCTAAACAGACTGAGAGCACCTAGTTTCAACAAGTTCTAATCCTATTCAATGACAGCAAAAAACATTATACACACATATGCATACACACTATATAGAACTAATCCAGTCATTACGTATGCCTCCAACGTCTTGACAGTGTTTAAACTCATCACAGCACTCCAACTTGAGATTACCTCAAGATAATTTTATCCTTTTTTTTTTCTTCCTAAAAATATAATTAGTAATCAATCCAATTATACTTCTGCAAGCTTCTATATCACTATCAATTTTGTTCACAAGTGGCTTATTTTGGTTCAGTTTACTCTGATTTTAATTCTATTTTAAAGCAATTACGGTTTAAGAACAAAATAAAAGTTCATACAGAGATATAACTAAGCTGACTTCTTTATCACATGTTCAGCTAGATTATTTCACAGCTCTTGTAAGCAAAGCTCAGTGTCAAAAAGAATGAAGAACTATGCCACTGTACACAAATAACAAACAGAAACACCGAAAGTATGTTGCAGCAATGATTTTTTTTTCTTTTCTTTTCTTCTTACCTTTATATTGGAGCTATGCACTTCTGCAAGTAGAATCTGTTCTGGCTTTAGCCCACAGAGTTCACTTAACTGTTTCTTCAAACCTGTATACTTTTCATCCATGTTCAATCTCAGGCCGTATCGAACAGGAGTAGTACCATCTAATTTAATTACTTTAAAGGGGAAAAGAAACACACCAGTTAGCAAACCAGGAAAGTTTTTAAAAGAATAATACATTACAGCTATTTGGCAATTTTTTCCCCCCTCTTGAAGATATGATTTTTTTTTATTTTTTTTTTTTTTAACCAACCAACTTTTAAGGTCTGCAGACACACGTCAGGAAATGTCTTGCTGCACAGGCAGTAGAAAATGGTTTCAAAACCTGTTTCACTTTTTAACTATCTTGCCTTTTGCCTCTTTCCCAACAATACATGGGTTCTTCATAGTACAGTTCATGACCCGTAAAGTATCTTTTGTTTGTACATTCCCCTTGAGTCCTTCTTTTTCACTCTAGGTAAATTTAGGACCACTTCCACAACACAGTGAACAGAAGGAAAGTTCTCAGAATCTCCATTTTACATGTTTCTGTACTAAGTCCTTTAGTCAAGACTGAAAATGGGCCATCTATGCTGTTTTCAAAGGTTTTGTTTTAGTTTAAGTGTATTCTGATGAAAATTCTTATGCTTTATTATATTAAAACGGTTATATTATTTTCAAGCATAAGTACTAACACAAAATTTGGATGTTTTATAGCTGATCTACACATACAATTTTTATTTTAGCAATGACAGGTTTACAGGGAGGTTAAACACTACTACTCACCTGTGATTTCTAGGTGCATGTAGCTATCCATTGGCAAAGGCAAGGATAAAAAATTAAAAGGGTCAAATCTAACACTTATATGTCCACAAGTTTTACATTTTACTTGTGACTTCAGCTGCCCATGAAATAAATCTACAACAATGGATCTGTTTCTTCTCAGATGGTTTTCCCAGGCCTAAAATGAAGTACAAAAAATCAATACAAAGTTAGAAACTGAAGACTACTTGCTGGAACCACAGGAAGCAGAATATGCTGGAAGACCTTCAAACTGTCATTGGCCTATGAGAGTCAAATTATTTCCATATAAGTTGTTTACCAGTTTCTAATAAATAGGAATTCCTTAGTTTCAACGTGAGTAAAGAGAAGTTATTTCAATTAACACAGTAATCAAGGTATGACATCATTTAAAGCACTTCTGAAAGGCTCCATCAGGCATCTTGAGAAATTTTAATACATCATAATTCTGAGTTGTTCAAAATGATTGTGATCATCTTTATACCTCTATTATAATACCTAAAACTCATTTTCAGCTCAAAGGTGAAATCAACTCCTTAAATCACAGATCTAACAAGTTCCAGAAGATGGTACAGCACTGAAAGAGTACTGCCACAGCCAGCCTCATCCACAACTTAGCAGCTTAGTACCACAAGGGAAAAAAACCCAGCAAACAAATAAACACCAAACCCCAAAATTTTAACCCATACCTCTGCTGCTACTTCCCAGTCTGGTCGACCATCGCTGTCTTTCAGTTCAACATAGGGCTTATCATGAACTCTGTTCAAATCCTCATGAAGACCATCCAAAAGAAAAGCCAGAAGCTCCTGTGAGTCTTGCTGTTGAAAGCCATTAAATCTTGGAGCGTATTTTGCTATTGTCCACTATAAAAAATGCCAGAAAGTTCTTTTAACATCACATACAAAAGTTGTAACAATAAATCAAAATACTGTAGACAGACGCTGTCAACGAGCACAAATTCAACGGCCAACAGTTAGAGGTAACTCCCTATGCTTTCAGAACAAAAGACCGTTTACAGGCAAATGCATAACTTTTTGTTGACAACAAAGGCTACAGAAGCCACATCTTATACCACAACCTCTGACTCATATCGGGTAACTCCTTTGACCTTACAACCACTGAACCATGACTATCTTCCACAGAAAGCTGCTCAAGTCCTGAGCACCAGGACTGACGAATCTTGGCCTCCTCCAGATGGGCACGTTTCCCCTGCACAGCCCCTTCCTCCCCCACATTCATTACAGGCAAGAAAGCAAATTCTGTGACCAGTCTGGAGTAACATACGTGATGACTGCCCAGGATATGGTCATCGGCTTCACAGTCAACTTCTAACATGTGAAATAGATGTCCAAGTTTCCTTCCCTTTCTCTAGGGGAGATACTGACTGGAGTTCCAGAACCAATACAACCCAGGTAACATCGGGAAAAAGTGCATTAAAAGATTTCTGCTCTTCAAAGAAATTCTTGCTTTCTACCTTTAAATAACACACCACAGACTTACCCGCAGCTTTAACGGTGCTATATTCTTCTGTGTTCCACTCCACAACTCCTGAACCAAATCCCCATAGCACTTGGCCATGTGTCCTTTCATTCCTATTGGATTTGTCCTAGAAATCATAAAGTAATTACTACCATACTAAAATTTAAACAAAGCTCAAGCATGGGGACAAATGAGGAAGTGCAAAGGCTTCTTGCTGAACTGTTTTAACTCTCCCAGAAAGAAAAGAGGTTATATTTTCATGTACTTTATCTAGTATCCACTGTATAACTGACAGTTGGTAACATTGAACTTAAAAGGATTTATTCATACTATCTACTTCTGAAAGCTGAAACTCATTTTCAAGAAATGTTACAGCATCTAAAATGCCAATGGTCTCAAATAGAAAATTACCTGTTAAGTTCATAGAGGTGTCTTCCTGAGATGAAATACCGTGTTAGAGGTTGTGTGTTACTGACACACTGGATACTGGAGTTCATGAAGCATGTGTTACCCAGATTGCTTAATCCAGTAGCACCCTTTTCAGTAGGAACTGAGAAAAAGAAAACATAATTATATCAATTGTGTAATGTGAGAAACTCAGAATGGTGTATCAGTAAAGTTAAGAACACGACCTTTTCATGGTAATCAATTCAATTTAACCTGCTCCCAATTACGAGACTACAGCTAGCACAGATGCAACAGAGGACCAGCCTGTTCAAAATATCTGCTCTCTCAACTCTACTTAAGTTAACAGAAATTGAGGCACTTTATTGGATCTGATCCACCACAGACATCACTACAATCCGTACAAACTATTTTCAGGTAAATAATTATGGTACTGAAGTTTCTGGATTAATTTGTTAAAACTTTAACTATTCCTTTCCATAAAGCAATCCGAGGTAAACACAAAATCCAGAATCTGCTATGTACCATTTGCTACTGCTGCATCTGAACATCTATAAGTTTATCTACGTTAATAAAACAGAAAGAACAAGCAAAGGCATAGGCATAGGAGATCTCTTCCAATGATAAAAGCACTTACATTAAAAAATTGTTTCAACATAATATAGCCTCGTAAGATTTTTCTTCTCATCATAATTGAACTGCTATGCTGAAACACTTACCTTTATGTCTGTCTATTTTACTGCTGTTTGCTATAAAAGACATCTCCTCTGGCCAGCTCATGTCTTTGTTTCGAACTAGAAAGAGATATGGTATAAGGACTTTTTAAAATTGTTTGCTACTTACTCTGGAGAACTTACTACAGCTGAAGAGGTTTAATTAAAATTTTCTAATATTTAGTTGAGATTAGAAATTCACTTGATTTTAGTTATTCTTTTTGCTAGTTTTCATTTCAATGTTTCCAATCACTGTTGGAAATCATTCCACTACTGGCATCATTCCAGCCATGCCAGTAACATCTTTAGAAAGCAGCCTTGAGATTCCTTTCCTGTTGGATAACATTTTTTTTTCGTACTTACTCTAATACTTAATAAGGAACCCCCAGATTTGAACAAATCTGTTCACTTCGTAAGCAATCACTAATACTTGTTGTTGTTATGAACCAAAAAAAGTCTACTTCAAAATAGGAACAAATTACATGTGTTTCAAGATAAAGTGGGACAAAAAACCGCAAGCTTTCCTCAACTTTGCCACCACCTCCCCACAGGATCCCCCTGTAAACGTCTGCCTTGCAATGACACAAGCCATACAGTGAACTGGCTTAAGGAGCCGAGCTAGCTGAAGAGGGAGTTATTTTCTCCTGGATCACTTCTCACAGCCAGGTCCTCAGATAGGCATCAAGTAGTTGTCCGGGGGTAAGGCAGGTGGCATAACACACAGAGAAAGGGCAGACTGCTGCTGTCACTGGCAGTGTCAACTTATTTGTCAACACCGTTGCCCATTTGTTTATTCAACTACAGCCTCAGGGCTCTGTTTCACCTGACACAGCTAGGTGCAGCCCCTCTCCACTCTCTCTACATATAAATTCCCATTTCTTCTGTTTAGTGACAGAATGAACTGCACCAGCCACTCTGCCAGTTTTAAATTGATTAAGTATGGAGCAGCAGAGTGGATCAAGCATGTACACTTCTGTTTCTCAAACCAAAAAAATTAGCCAAAAAGGTGAAACTAGTTGAAAACTCAGCTGATCCATGCACCCTGATCCCTTTGACAAAGGCTTAACGTATTGTGACTGACAGCACTGCCTGGCATAGTAACGCATGGCAGGAGGATGAGACAACAGCCACAAACGGAAACAAGAAAGGCTGGGATTGTTTACGTTGCCTTATCACTATGGCAACAGTCAGTCAAGCAGTCAAGTGCAAATGTGTGAGGTTCTCTCCAGATGTGAAAACAAAAGCAGTTTGTCACAAAAATCTTAGAAATTAACCTGACATGGGCCGAAACATGCAGTTTTCTTCAGCTTGTGCTTTGTGAGTAAGAATGTGTTCATGCAAATATCACAACCTGAACTCTTGTAAAACTAGTGAAAGAAAAATCATATAATGAAAAAGTCTCAGATGCCTCACACCGCTTTTGTTACATCTCTCCTATTTTAGTTATTACTGTAGGGGCATTGGATTATTTGAAACTTTGGTATTTCTTCCTGCATTTCTTTCAATACAAACATATATACAGACATCTATTTACACTTACTCTTCCTTCTCAAAACACTTGGGCAGTAGGCCTACATATTTGTGTACTTTGGGCAATTACAGAAATGGGTACTACATACAATTTATTAACTATACATACACTCACATAAAACTATCCATTTTTAGTGTGAAAACCAATTATAGGCCCTTTTTATACCTTCTATTACTAAATGCTGCTCATCTTGGATTTTAAGATACTCCAGTCTGTGATCTTCATCATCCAGCAAAGTAAGATAGTTCTGCAGAAGAAAAAAATACTTCATATAGTTACCACTTCTAGATTTACAGTTCTCTGAGGATATTTTAATCTTGAAGCAATGAAATTAAAACAATATTAAACATTTCTTCACAAAAATGAGAGCACCAGTTTCGTACCTATGTTAGTTAAATACGGGAGTTCACTGATGTTCAGAAGCGCCTAGTTCAATGCTTTAATTTCATGTGGTATTTCTTTAGAATGAGAGAATTACATGCACTGAACAATTTGGAGGAATACATTCTGTTTGGTCATTGTGATTTGTTCACACAAACATTTGAAAAAGATCCTGGATGGCTGCTGCCTTCTGTGCCAACAGAAGCATACAGCATCATGCGTGTCAACAAAAGAATGTATTTTTATTTCCATTTAAAACAGCTTCTATGAAACTTCTTATCAAGCCTTTTCATAGGTCAACCAATTGCCAATTTTAAAATACATCACAGGATAATTACATGTTTATCAGGCTACCAGGAAAACAAATGATCTATTCTCTGGGTTGTTAACACCAAAATCTAAATTTCACTGCTTCGAGTGCACAAAAAACTTTAGAAAGCAAGTGGCAAGAGTTTTCCAACCTGGGCAGTTAAACTGCAAAGGAAACTTATGCCCACTATTGGGTTTTTTTCCTCTGTGTGCGTATTTAATAGTTTCAATAAAAGAACAAGGCATATACCCAACAGCCGATTAAAAAACACAACAAAACCCCCCGACATTACCTCACTATTGTATAACCAGAGGCGCATATCTTCTTCTTTTATACGTAGCCTCTGGGAGAGATATTCATGTATCTCTTTAATTGTCTGCATTCGACTAAAGCAGCCGGTGTAAGCCAACACTCTTTTTAAAGGAGCATTCGGTGAAGGGACGTTCCCTGGATTTACAATCATAAGAAAAGGGCAAAAGATAATGTATATACCCATAGGCCACTGAAATCACACCAATAACAGCTTATACACTACTTATAGTATAAGTACTTTTTGTGAAAAAGAAGTACACACTTCTACTGCTTTTGTTTATGGATAAAATAATGAGTTAAATTGAAAGCTAGTTGTTACTAACCCTTTGGGACAACAAACTTGCTATCACAAATTTACCTCCCTTCTTACTAAAACCTGCTAGAAAACTGCTCCCCTAAGTTTCCCGTAGGAAATAAATAATTTAGAAGAAGTTTTAAAAGACTGGACTATTAATTTTTTCTCTTAAAAACAGTGTATCAGAGACGATGGTAATTTTCAAAATTAAGGACTTCAAAATTTCATGAGAACGTTCTTTTTGAGAACACTGTAAGTAAAAAATAAGATTAAAAAAATTAGTCTTGACTATTTTTGGAGGTAGTATGACCTTGCTTCAGCTTTTCTATGGAGATAAATGCTAATCTGCGAAGACAAAATCAACCCGGCAGTTTGACAATAAAAGTATTTTTGAACAACTGAATTCCTCAAAACATATTCTGTGAAGATGTCGAGGATTCTCACCAGAATTTCTCAATGATCTCATGTTTGTAACACAAATTAATACCATCAGTCAAGATTGTTGCTTTTTTCTGTAATACGAGCTCATCTTTAAATAAAACATTCGCACAAGAGACCAACTTTACATGCTTTATTTCTTGAGCTTCTTTAGTTTAAACTTAGGAAGCTCCCCAGTCCTCACAGAGAGAGGTCTGTAACACATTAATGAAAAGCATTATTATACAGCCAAACCCAACTGGGCAACTGCATTATTTCAATAGTCAGAGAAGTGACGCAGTTCTACTTTCACTGCCAAAAGATTAAAATAAAATAAATAGTACTACATGAAAAGATGCAATATTACATGCAATTAGACAAGAGAGTAAAACTATACTGTAATCATCTATAAGTGAGCAAAGCATCAGTTTTGCTTCAGTATACCAAGCAAAGTATTCATTTTTTTTAAAGAAAACAAAAAAGCATTTTCTGAGATTAGGGGTCAGAGGATTAGTTGTAAGATTACAGCAAGAAAGCATATTTGTAAACTCAAAAAGATTAATCATTGATTGGACACATACATTAGTGCAGAGCAAAATAACTCCAAATCAAGATCAAATTTGGCACATCAGAAGATTCTCTTTATTTGAATTTGGGCATTTTAGAATGTCCAAACAAAGCAGTTTCCATTTTATCAGGTCAAGTAGGAAAAATGAATTTGGGTAGCAGGCAGTTTCTGTAGCGGAACTTGATCAAGCAGGCGGCCGCTATCTACACATTAAGTTCTAGATTCTGTCAAAGCAGTGAAAAATTGAGCATTTGCATGAGATTTTTAAACACAGGCTAACACTAGCAAGGCTAAATAATTTAATTTTCATAGTCAGGTGAGCCCGTTTCTGGACATACGTTACTGTGGATGCACACGTACATATCTGTGTGTATCCAAACGCAGGTGCATGTGAACATCAGGTATTTCTTCAAACCTGTTGTGCAAGGCAAGTGTGCAACTGTGCATACAAACTGGTAACTGAAAACTCTTGCAACACTTTTCAGCTGAAATGCGAAGCTGCATTCTAAAGATTATTCTTATAGCCCTTTACTTGTACAATCCTTTGGTGAGCAGCACCACCACAACTATGGCACAGGTATTTCAGCTGGATGTTTACACTTTCTACTGAAATGTCTTTCTGAACTGCATCAAATCATACTCTTGGCATTCCATTAATTCAATCACTTTCTAAAGAGTATCAAAAAATTTGGGGCATTAAAGCCTAGCTGCCCAAGTAACTCCGAACCAGTCGGCTGAACAATTATTTCATTTATTATACCGCTGTACTATGAGATACACACACCCACCTCAATGCACAGATGCATCTAGTCTACGGCCACAAAATTCATTACCAACAGGATTAATCAGATCTGCCCTTCTTAGCTGTTTAGTTTAGGCAGTGCTCATTTCTCACTTTCAACTCGCCAATCTACGTGCAGTAACTATGCGACTTAACTGACTTCACTGAAAATGCTCCTCATGCCTCTTCCTCTCACGAGAAGACAGGAGGAAAGCCTTAAACCTTTACCAAACGCCGATTGTGCCTCACAGTTGATTAGCTGGTGCACAAGCACAGTGGCAGCAAGCTTCTACAGCTGGGGGTCTCGCTTTCTTAGAAACTGCGCATTTGTATTCTTGCTGCATTCTTAAGTTACCTCTAGGTAAATGCTGAGGAAACATTCTCAGGCTCATCATACCCATATTCACCCAGATGTTGGACTGCTGCGTTCGAGTGGCAGGCTGCTGTCTCAGGAAGAGCAGGTAGCGAGGAAATAGCTCTAGTTCAGGCACATTTGTTTTGCTGTTTTTGATCACCTAGTAAAGATGTTTAAAACACATTTTAGAGACTGCTGTTCCAAGCGTGTAGGAAATCCCAGTAGGAACAGGAAGCGATCATTAAAGCAGATGGTTAAAAAGAATAAACCATGTTTTATTAGCAGATCAGAAATCTTCTGAACAATCTTATGGGGTCTTAGGCAAATATCCACAGGAATAACAATTTACTGATCTCTAAGCACTTTTTGAAACTTATTAGTTGCAGATCATCAAAAGCAAACACCTTATTTAGCGGAGCATGGCTTCCTGTGCAACACCACAGGAAGAACATTTTTATGATTTCTGAAATAAGTGTGAATCTACAATGAACCTCATTAATTCTACTCAGTGGATACTTCAGTATGAAGGTTTCACAGCCGTTGAAAAGCTCACACATGCTGAACAAGATATTTGTTCTGAACTTTCTGAACTATAGGATTGAATTAAAACCTCCACATTGCAAGAAAAGACTGAAACTTACTTTTGTTGCATTTTGATACGTTGACAGAAAAAGCTGAAATTACCCCAGAGCGTGACTTGCAGCTTTTCAGTCACCATTTCTACAAAGATCTTCCTATCTAGATCCACCCAAACATAGACATACCATAAATGGCAGGAATGTTCACTATTTTTGTGACCATGTGATGCAGAAGAAAACACTCAGTTTAAGTTGTGAGAAGCAATATAATGCACTAAAGTGCCGCGGCATTGAACTTCAGCTACAACAAAAACAGTAGTGATGGCATTTTCTGGAAAGGAACAACGTAATGGTCCCTACTGTGGGGTGGGAGACTGGGACTGTAAGTGCCTGTATACGTGGTTGCAAGTAATCAAATGGTCTTCAAGTTGTCCAGCGTTCAGATAATTAAGGAATATTTTGACACTAAGTTGTGGACCGAAAAGTTATAGTTTATACATATATTATTTATATTTTTTTGCAGACAGGATACCCAAATTAAAATTCTCTCATTCTGAATAGAAGTCTCTTCAAATGACCCAACCACAAAAATCTCAAGCACACTAGTTTGTGTATAAAGAGATGGGGCCTCTTCTGGATCACAAAAGGTGTTTGTTTCCACAGAGAACATGTAGGAGCAAGGTAACAGAAGCCAGTGATTTTACACTGTAAAATAATTGCCAGTACTACAGCTAACAGATCAAATCATCAAAAATCATACAGCTAATTCTCTCCCATTTGTGACAGCAACCACCTAACCTCTATTGCTACCAACCAAAAAAATCCCCTCCCTTCCATCTTTTAGGGATAGTTCCTATAAGAGACTACCTGACATAGAATAACCAACTCCTCTATGCAACAAATATACTCAACAGAAATTGAAGAAACTTTCCAACGTTTCTAAGTGAACAGACCAGTTCAATTTTTCTTGATTCTAACATCAGCTACTTTTTTATAAATTCAATATTGATAATTCAATTACTCCAAATGATTACGACCTGTTAACTGTTTTGCTATATTACACACAGAGAAACAGAGAGATAGCTCAATAAATTGCGAGTAAATTACACAATTTGACAATGGCTATTGCTATATAATTACTGCTCCTCTTTCAGACATACTGTTGCATGTTACTGTTGTAATTGCAACCAAAAAAATCTCATTGGGATGACACAGACTAATTCTTAGTCCACTTAGTCAACTCCATTTAATACACACCACTTTCACATTGCAATTCGGCAATACCTTCTGCACTGTGCCCAAAATTAATTTTTAATTAAAGATATTACAGTGTTAAGTGACAAAAAGTCAAGTTCACCAGTCTGTGCAGTTCTTCAAGAGGTTTTTTTCTTACTTTTAACAAAACTTTAATGCAAACAAGTACAAATACCACCTTGTCTTTGATAGGTTCTTGCTAATTAATTAAATTTATTACAAGGCTTTCGGTGACTACAGGCAATTAAATAATTATTGATATAAAAATGCAGTAGTACCAATTTGTAAATACAATTTTTATTACACAATGAGAACATTACATTGATTATTTGTAAAACTATTTCACAATTTTATTTGTGGAATTTATTCACTGGCTTTTCTGCTTACTGTCAAATCTAAGAAATGTGAAAATTCACTATACATGAATTATTTGCTGACAAACGAGTATTCCATAAGTTTGGAGGAGCGCTACCGATTTTGTGCTGAAGAACGAGAATGATCATCCCTTGTCTTGCCAGTAAGATTTTTACTCATTAGAAAAAAATAAATCCAACTATCATTATACTAGGAGGAGAATGGCACAAAAGAACTACTTATTTTGAATATATGATCTGCTCAAAATAACATATGGCATCAATACATAATACCTGCAACAAGAATTAAAACAAGGCCCTGACTGGATGAGTGGTCTTTGCTTTTAGCACTCAACATGGTTAACCAGAATCGTGCTGATGCAGCCTCAGACTGTAGACGCCAACTCGAGCATCTGCTTCTTGAGGAATTGCTTATGATAAATGCTTTATTGTCAAACTTTTGACTAGCAGCTGAACAACTTCACCAGTCTGTGCAGCGCTCAAGGGCTGGTATGTCCATACACAAATGCTATTTAGGAATACCTACTCCTGCAGCTACACTCCAAAGTGCTTCTGAGCAACCATTTTGACAAAGAATAGTCTTTGCCTGTTTTCTTCACTAGGATCACCTACTGCTATCTGCTTTTTAGATCATCACCAAATCTTGCACAGTGTTTTCCACGACACTGAACTTGAAAGACAGCAATTGTTACCTTCCCCGCACTTCATAAAACTGCGAGAGAAAGAAACGCATTTTCAAATCTGCAAGTGTCCCAGTTTTAATCTTATTGGTTTTGCAGACCAGTTGAGAATTTATCTTAGCTTTTGAACATGAGGGTTCTGATGCCAAGCCTTTTAAACTGATCCCAAGTTTACTTTCGTCTGCTTTAGTAATCATGATCAGTTGAGCAGCACTTCTGCCCTGTTGCAGTGTCTTCTGGGGACTGTGCTGCAAACCTCCTGGTAAACATCCACAACTTTCTATCCATGTCCATTTCTGAGACTGCTTTTGCCCAGCTTTCTCTTCAAGACTTTTCATTTAGACTATCTATTTTGGATGAAGTAGGAGATGACCATAAAAGATTACCTCGTGCAACTGGCAGAAGCTCAGACACATCGGGTTGTTTATATTATCTCAGTGGTCATGGCAAGTAAACAGCGCCTATAATCACAACTTACCGGCCTAGGCAAGGACAGATTTGCTCCATACCAATGGTAAAGTGCTCTCCAAACTGGTTCTGGTACCATTATGTAGTCCTTTCCTTCAACCAATTGTGGAGATCGCTTTAATCTTCCACCTTCCATTGTTAATGATGCAGCCTTTAAACAAAAAGGGATTTTTGTCAAATCTCAAGTGGAAAAAATAGTATACAGCTACAATGACCTTGGTTCATGAACACAAAACTTTAATTGTTAAAAAACTTCTAAGTAGCAATTAGCAACTGCTTTTCACACTGAAAGATGATATTTACATGTAACAATAATTAACACTCAAGCTTCACTGTTTACTACTTCTCTAAAAGGCTGTCCAGTACAAAAAAATGTAATACGTTCCTCTCTTGTGTCACCTACTCCGGCAACTTCAGATACTGAATACAGAAATCCAGTCTATGCTCATCATTGATGCTGCTGGTCTGCGTTTTAAGTTTTGTTTGCATGAATACTGGAAAAACTGTCAGTTTTGTTTTACTGTTTAGTTAACTAATTTCTGGTTTTATGCAACAGCAATAAAGCATCTAAACACTAAGACTGAAAAGACTTAAGTGTTTAATTATTAAAATATTTTACATTTAACACTGAAAGTTGTGTTTCCATAAATGGCTTTTACATTCATAAGTTTTGATTAAGAACACTTAGAATGTTTTGCTTCTCACAGAACACTCAATGGTAGCCTCAGAAGCAGAATATTTTTTCCCCTTAAAATAAAAGTAAGAAACCCAAATTTTGTTATATGACAAAGCAGTGTTAATTTAGAATTAAGCCACTAGCTGAAAAAAACACCACATAAAAAGCTGTGCTAAAAAAGCATGTTAAAAGATACTTTTCCTATATTCACATGACTCGGATGCATTTACCTTCACTGGTTCTTGAGTTACTAGGGGTTGGTTATCAATAGCTCCTGGTTTCTGAGGATTAAGCTGTAGCAGAGTATTCCCATTGCTTCCAAGGAAACACTGGTTATTATTGTCTGAAGTATTATGCTGCCTAGCAAAACATACATCAGTCCCTGGTGTGCCAGGGTAAAGAGCATCTGTAACAGAATATAAGAGAAAAAAAAATTTTTAAAAAAAATCTCTATTTCAGTTCATGACTCCATAAACCATAAACGAATTAATTAAATGCTTGTATCCTTTTTTTTTTAAAAAAAAAAATTGTTGAAGGAGTTTACTGTCCTTCATACTTCAGTAAAACACGCAACTCTTCCGAACTACAGAGTGACAAATATACTATTACTCTCAGAAATGTAAAGAGGTGGATATATGAGATCCAAATATTACAGCAGATGCTTACACAAATACTGGTTTGAAAACAGCCTAACTAGGTTTGCATGAGCAAATGTGTTTAGCATTTGCTTGTCATCTGGATGTTTGAATATCAAACTCCTGAAAATCTCACACACAAAACTGAATGTACATGCAATAATGCCTTATTTTTATTTTTTCTCCTTGAAAACAAACGTTTTTATTCCTACAGAATCTAAGAATATAAATATAGAATCCTTTGGTTATGCTGAACACTAAATGTAAATTTCAGGTTTAAAAAAAGAAAGAAAAAAGAAAGAACCTTTAAGCTAAAACTTGTCTCCTTTCCTGTCCTTCCTCTATCTCTCCCAACCCCCACCCCAAAAATGATCACAGTAATTTATCCACTTTAAATTTGTTACAATTTTAAAGACACAGATTTTAAAATACCAGATGCAACATTCAGCTGTCTTCCAAGAAAAAACCCAACATCGCAAATTCTCACAAGAACTGACCGAAAATTATCACTAAAATCTCTTCTTTCACAAAGACGGCTCCTAGAATCTGCACAAACTCATTTAGATCGCATGCCCTGTAACATTCTAAGTATGCTTTTCCTAATCTCTTTTTCTGCTTCTTTCCTCTTTGTAGTACCTGAGGTCACTCCATCACTAGACACAGTACAACACCAACTAGGTAGGAGCTAGAAACAACTTCATGTGATGAGGAGGAAAAACATCCACTCAGAAAATAAATGATAGGACAAAAACTATCTTGAAAACCATTCTGGAAACGAATCATAGCATAAAAGATGAACTGCTGTTTAAACAAGGCTGTTTCTTGTTTATCCACCAGAGTCTAAAAAATCCTAGTAATTCACCGACGTCCACACGTAGGCCACTTCTGCAATCTAAACTGTGTTATCTTTTCGCCTGGAGGAATCCATGCAGTATGTAGTTTCCTTAAAACCTGTTCTACATTAAACCTCCAAGGAAATAAGATGTTATGCTTACTGCTGCTAGTAGTCTCTGAGGCTTCTGATGCAGTAGAAATATTATCTGAAAACTTTTCTTCTGTTGCACTGAAGTAATTAAGACCTCCCATTTTGTCTTCTCCCTGTTCTGAAGTATTGGCTGCAGCAGCTACGAGTGAATTCTTACCTCCACTCAAGACAGATGAAGGCTCTATCACAACAGGGTTTGCATCCTAGAAGTGGTAGGCAAGTAGAAAAGTTAATTATAAGCCGATATCAAAGATGTTTAGCATCAGCCAAACCAATCACCAAAATTCACAGCTACGTGACCACTTTTGCAGATCACAACAAACTTTATAGAAAAAAAACACAAAACCAAACAACTTTCTACATCTACTGATGAAAAAACAGCCAAAACTGTTTACCAATCAAAGTCTTCTGCTCAATACAAAAACTGTGAAATACCAGAATTATTTTCTCTATCTAGATACATAAAAAGACGACCATTTGAGACAGCTATAATTATGTAGACTATAAATATTTGAAGATTTGTCCTTGTTGAATTTCATATGATTAAATGAGAACAGCATGCACAAGAACAAAAAAACATTCTTTCCTCAAGCCTGCAACATTTTAGTGTTCCTTAACTTTGTTTTGAAACAAAGTTCCTTTGTTTCCTTTTGGAGGAACAGCATTGCAAAGGCAATCTGGCTCAGACTTAGGCAAGATAAAGGTGGAGAAAAATATTTCCAACCCCCCAAAAGGGTAACTTGCCTGCCCAGTACAGACAAGACATACAAAAAAATCCTACCCAATTTACAGCACCAGTTACAACAAAAAGTGGCAACAAATGAGAAAACAGAAGAAAAATAGAATTAACTGAGCCTTAGAGAGGAAAAGAGAAAAACTGTGCGATGAACATCACCAGTGAAGCAAGCCCCAGAAAAAGGGCTGTTTCTTGGTTTATGTTGTCCCCTATCTATCACATCAGTACTCATAGTATCTTGTCAAATAACAAAACTGTGCAGTAAAGCTAAAACTATAAAAATAAGACTAAAATATACATTGGAATCACAGTAATCATTGATAGAGTTTCACAGAAATTCTGAGTGTTGCCTTTGCTTGAGAGGTAGACAGAGTGACTAATGGCCTTGTGCTATTATGCAAAGGATTAGGCATGAAATCATGTGCACATCTGAGTGCTCATACTATGACATGGATCAAATTACCTACTATTTCAGGCACTTAAGCCATCATTTGTCCAATTCATTGTGCACAAAGAATAACTGCAATTACATGGTTAGTTAATACACACATTGCAGTTTCTGAATATTTTTAGTTATTCATATTTATAAAACAACTTAAATACTTACATGCTTACTTATCACTATATAAAACATCCTTGACAAAGACTATTTCACTGGTCTAACCTGCAAAGAATATTCGTCTCCACCTCAGTTAAATTTTATTAAATTTAATTTTATTAAATATGCTTTCTTTCGTAAAATTCACAGCGATGCTTTAACTGGAGTATTTTAGTTGGAAGGTATTAAGAGCACCCTGTAAATAGAAAGTTTTAGTAGAACTCCTTTGATCACCATCAGGTACTGGACTATTTTTCATCATTGCCAACAAATCAAGCTATACCAATTCCCTCCTTTATTTGTCCAGAAAATGCACTGTGGGTATCTGTGGCCCAAGCAAAGTCAAACCCAAAAAAGGTAGCTTTATTATCAAACAAATAAGGGTGGTAGTATTGTGAGAGTATGTTTTTATTCAAAAACTATTTTGACATGCAGGAATGATGAAACAAAGTACAGAAAGAGATGGCAGTTTAATGAAATTATAGTGCAAAGCTCACCATGTGACAGTGATTCAGCAAAACAATTATTTTCCACTGAGAGACAGGAGATGCTTAATTTCAAGCATTATTGGTTAAGCAGTCATTTGCTCCACACTCATTTTTCATCAACACATTCACAAATACAAAGAACTCGCTTATTCAGTATACACAATTATTATACTTACGTATTTGACATACTCTTTCCACTGGTGCCACCACGGCATTGCAATAAGAAACCAGTTGTGCCCTGGCTGAAGGCCATACCTGCTTTCTCTTTCTAACCAGCCTCTGCACATAAAGAATGAGCAACATGAAGTATTAGCTGAAACAGGGAAATTACAGTCCTTTCAAAAATATTAAAACCCATTTAAGATTCTGAGCAAAACACGTACCTAATAATCTGTCCCTCCTCTTCTGGAGTGGCAGGTCTCAGCCCCAAAACTATATGACACACCTGGAAAGAGAAAGTAATCCTTATTAAGAACTACACCACCAATGAGACAAGCATGAGGTAAACAAAAGAACAGGACAACTCTAATGGGACTTTTCAGAAAATTCTAATTGCGTAGCAAGCTTACCTAAAATCGAACAAATCACTGAAAAAAACAAGTATTTTGAGCTATGAGATTCCCAACCTGTTCCCCCTGTTAAGACAAAGATACCAAGAACGTCAAATGCCCCAAGCCAAATTAAGGTGAACAGAAAATGAATTTTCATTATTTTCAGGTCTGAAGCACACGCTGTGAGAGATCACAGTAACTGACATGGATCAGATATACAAAAATTTAAGATGTGTCTATGTCATGGGAGAGAGAGAATGAGGAATTGGGAGAATGTAAGCTGCTGCAAAAGGATAATCTAAAAAATAAAACAATCGGAAAAATAGGGAGAAGTGGTTATACAAGGGAATGAAAGGAGAACAAGCACATGAAGAGACAGAGGGAGAAGTTTAAAGCAGTCCAACCAATCAGTTACCACCGAAAATGCTCTCAAAATTGTAGAACATTCTCTGAATGTCTGATGCCTTTTTTTTTTCCCCTCCTTTTCTTTTTTTTTCCTTTTTGAAACATATGCAGAAGAAAAAGGCACCATCCCCAAGGTGGCTGCCTGATTGGGGTGGGGTTTTATTCTGAGTACAAGACAGCAGTCCCAGATGGCTAATATTTTACTTCTCTCTTCCTAGTAAAACCATCCCGGCCTCGGCTGCGGTGACATCTCCGGCTGGTTCCTCCCAGCAGCTCCCCAGCCACAGGGCATGCAGCAGGGAGCGCTGAGCTGCTGAGCGGCGGGGACAA